GCAGTTCTTTCCTGGGAAGAGAAGCTGCATCTCCCAGGTACAGCAGCTCTATTTATAAAATCCTTGACCCTGGAAATTATGCTTTGCCTTGCAGCTTTCATCTGCATTGAATGCAGTAACAGAATGTACGTTGGGCAGAATTCGTGGACGCTCAAGGACGCATTTACCACGAATACACCAATAAAAAGATCATCAGGGAAAATGTACCCGGAAAATATGAGATATGTAAACGTAAGGTCAAAGAAGAGGATTCTTGTAGAGTGCATATGTCCAAGCCTAAGGAAACACAGTGGGGTTTTTCATTTTAATAGGGCAGAGAACACAAATATGTTCCACAGTCTTTGACCCAGTTTTGGGTACCGCCAAGTATGGGCTCTCTGGTTATAAAGGCAGCATTTTCTTATCCAAACCAAACATAACTATTCCAAATTCACATAGGGGTAGCATCTCCTTTGGAGTTTGTCTCATCTAAGAGAAGACACTGTGAGGAACTGTACAAAATCAAAGACTTTAGTTACGAAGAAATACCTTTTCTTCCTAAATAATTTTTTCCGCATCCAACCAACAGATCACATCACAGTACGGTTACAAAAATTTTTGACAGGATGTCAGTTGCTTTTATAAATCCCTTCATAAAAAATAAGGATTGCAACACAAGAAAGAGAACACAACAGCATGACCATACCCATCTGACGCTGCAACACTGAGAAACGTGGATGCCAGTCTACGACTGGAACTCTTAAGTGCTAAAATAGTATAAATATACCCTAAAAATACGCTAGGACTGCTTTAGTAACGAGAGTTCAAGACAATACAGAGGCTTTTTTTGTCCCCCTGTAGATGTTTCTGAGCAGCGTTTCCACGTGCATCCCTGTTAAGCACAACCCAATGGGTTGCACGGGTTTATAGACTGGAAACCACAAGAGGCTCACAGCAAAGAAAGTCATTCTGAAAAGCACCCTCTTCTGAAGTAAGAATTAAGCCTCTTTTCAAAACCTAAAAAATGTGTCATCCAACACAGTAAAAAGGGCTCGGCTGGACGAATAAAGATCAATGGGTAGAAGGAATGCACAGGAATTTCAAAACTAGGTATGTACAAAACTCTGCTTGCATAACCGTGCAAAGCAGGGGAACAAGCAAATACCTTTAATGTGTTTAGAGGCCTGGAAAACAGAAAACATCTCCCTTTTTTGAGGAGAGGATTTTGCGAGTCTGTAGAGGAGACAGTAGGTACGAGCTTCTGACCGCGCGAATGCCACAAACACGTTTGCCAGCACTACAGCTTTTGGCGGCGGACCTGCACTCTTACACTTCATCTACAGCTTCTTTGGCCATAAGTCCAGCGTTTCTGGACACCCAAAAGCTCGGTGGAAGCGCACAAGACCACTCGTGCAACGCACACTGGGTCACTTACCTCCCAGACCCCTTGGGCTACGTTTGCCCTATAGACACGGTGAAAGCACAAGGCGGTTCTGGAAATTCAGAGCAGGAATTACAGCAAGCAGCTCTTTTATTGGATTTTAAGCATCAGGAATACGGGCGTGGGATCCTCGTAGAGACTCGTGAAGGTTTTGCCATCCAGATATTTCCTCTTCCAATGGGGGTAAGAGAGCAGCAAAACTAACTGGAATTTATCTGTATCAAGGTGGCTGAAAGATGGCTGATGGATGCTACGAGCTGTCTCTGGAGCCCATCACCCAACAGCTCTTGCCTTACCCAGCTTTCTAAATCTTAACAAACTGCACCCCTTTGAAACTGAGTACTCTTTCCTGAGTCCTGCTCGCACTGAAAACACAAAATTCAGCTAAAATGGCGTTTTTGTGAAAACCATTGCAAATTCCTTCACTTGCACCCAGAGAATGAGTTCTTTGGAACCAGGGGGAGACATCTTGACTTGCAGAACTCATCCCTGAGCGGCGGATCCTGGGCGACACACTTCTTCAACCTTTGGGTACTGCTTGTGCTTGCTGGAAACGAAAGAGTTAAACTAGACACGACTTTCTTTTCACCCACAAGCCAGTGAAGGCTACAGACCACTAATTTATGTGTTTATCTAAAGCTTCTGATGTTCTATGTATTTTTTTTGAAGGGTTTCGGTTTTGTTTTTTTTCAAACGAGGCTGTATTTTTCCCTTTAAACTAAGGATATAAAAGTTAAATCCGGTGGGCTTAGCTGCAATTTACACACTGGGAAGTGTAAAGCGCTGGCATTTACAGGCCTTCTGTCCCATACACACAGACGTTACAGCTCAGCCAAAAATCTGCAAATATTCATTAAAATTCAGAAGCAAATTCGGCCATGTTTACAGCTGCTTCGCGTTTGCTTTCTGCAAATATTTGAGCACTTGTGCTTTACTAGTACAAACACTAGTGAATAATGAATTTTCGTTTCAAATAACCGCTGAGCTTAGCGTGGTGCGCTCAGCTATTACGTGCGTGGTCCATACGCTCACGCTTACCCAGGGAGAAATGCCATTCGGCCAGGAAACAAGCACTACTCTGTGACTTCTACAATTAACAGTACAAAATCCGAATATGAAATATTTCCACACTCATTAACGTGGAAATTTCACGGCGCACCACAGAATTCAAAAAACCTTTCAGTGCCCTTTAAACCTTACCTACGGCGGTAAGGAGCCTCCAAGAGCCAGAACGAGGGGAGGCTCTGAACATCTGCAAGGACTGGCACAAAAATCCAGCGTTTGGCATTGACTGAACAGGCCCTGTGAGAATTTCTGTTTAAAAAACAGGAATATTCAGCAACGCAGCTCTCTTCCCCTTTTTTACAGGAAGGGGAAGAGGACAAGATGCTCAAATGAGTCTTTTTTTTTTTAAAAAAAAACGCCTCTTGAAAGCTGTTTTAATTTAAACAAGATGTTATTCGCGTCCATATTTCAGCAAATGATATAACTAAGAGAGAACACGGTTTGAAATTACTTGGGGTTTACGTTAAATTCTTAAATACTTGTGTTTAATCTTTAGTAAACACCTCGGAGAAGTGTGCCTAGCAGCATTACTCAGGTGGAACCCCTCTAACACCTTGTAGTCAGTCAAGCAGCAGAGAAAGAAAAAGCCTGTTAGCTCAAACCAAACAGCTGGCTTCTCCCTCACAGACCTAATCGTGGTGAAAAAAAAAAATTGTATTTTGGGAGAGCCTTCCTTGCCAGCCAAAGTCAGACGTGCATTTTGCCGAGATCTACTGCCGTATGTAGATTTTCACCCAGAATACTTCCCTGGCACCAGATTCATACTCGGTGAAGTGCAAGGTTGGGAGCTGGAGAAGTGTTGAGCTGTAATTCATGGAAAAATGACCCAGTGTGGTGTTTGGGGGTCTCTTCTCCCAGTTGTTGTAATCCTGTGTCTTCAGAAAGACGTCAGAGCTCGTAGGACACGCGGTTTTCCGTGTGCGAATGACTACCGCACGCCTGCCTATTCTCTTCCGGGCTCTGTTTACCCTTTATTTTCTTCATCCGCCCGGAATGTCACTGTCTAGGGATCCTGCACAAGCAAGTTTCCAGGCTAGCAGTTATGAAATATCAGGCTGGGAACAGTTGTCATAAATTAATGGGTTTTGCCTAATTTTGCACTGCAAGTCACGCCTGAGTAGCTTTTGAGTATGAGTGAAAAAGGACATCGCTCTTTAAGCGTATGTGTACTTGAACTCAGCAGGCGATCTCTTTAACACTAACTCAAGAGTTTCCTCCCTGAATAGTACCCTCCATGTAAATATAATCCATTAAATTCCATATCTGTTCAGAGAGCGAATGTACGCTGCCCAACGCTCTTTAAAGTAACTATCTGGGGGAAAAAAAATGCGTCGAAAAAATTGGATCTTTTCATTCCAGCTAATACTCGAACTTTAGATAGAAATCAATCTTCTTTTATTCATTTGCCTTTATATGCCATTCCAATTTTGGAAAGTTTCCACATTCCCATCCTGAAAAAAAAAATATGGTTTAGAAACGCTACAAGCTCATTTTGCGGTTTGTTAATATAGGTGCAACATAAACAACGGATTTGAGGATCTTGCAGAGGAAGAACCCTTTTTATACATAATCATGTTTTAATGGACTCTGTTTGTAAACTGGCGGACCCATACAAGACTGGGACTGGGACTTTTTCCATCAACACAGAGCTGCATGGATAAGAGCGTATTTTTAAAGGACGCTACGAAAACCGCTGCCTAGTGACGCAATGGTCATCACCAATTTCATTAAAGGTAGCTCCATCCGTATCCCAGAGCCTTGATTCTGGCAAATTTCCTGGAGATTTCACGGAGACGTTTAGCCAAGCAGAGACGATAGCATCAAGAGCCGTGCTAGCATGTTTAATGCAAACTTGCCCTGAACTTCATTTACATATTACTCGGCCAAATTTCACGGAATAAGGCACTCAGCATTCGGGTTTTATCTACCATCCAAATCAGCTGAAACAACCAAATTTATAATGACCTCAATCCAACATTTTGGGTTAAGACAAATGTCTAATAACTGTACTTCATATGCTGGTTAATGATTTTTAAAGAATTTGACTGGTCTCAATAGGTCATATTGAGCCCTTCATTGTGTCTTTATCCAAAACAGTGATAAAAATTCCCAGATAGATGTTAACTTTTTTCTACCTAAGTCCAAGAAGGCCTAACCAGCCCCAGCTCCAGCTCTGCACGCACAAATGGTGCAAGGTGGTGTATTTTACCAGTAACCGAGTGGTGCAGGCTGCAGCTGCCTGTGGCATCCCCCTCCAATTCGCGGCTGGGCCCCCCCCCCACCCCCCCCCCCGCCCCCCCCTACCCCTCCATATCCCCCCATCCACTCCGCATTCCCCCGCATGCACCTTTGCATCCTCCCACATCCCCTTCCATTCTCCCTGTGTCCCATTAAAATCTCCCCGATTCCCCCCCGAGGCCATATCCCTCAATATTCCCCCCATCCACCTCACATCTTCCCACATACCCCCTTACATCCTCCCACATCCTCCTCCATCCTCCCTGTGTCCCTTCCCATGTCGCCTTCATTCCACCCCACCCATTTCTCCAGCCTCCCTGCCCATCATCACTCACACCCCCCTCCATCCCCACTTCACAACCCTCTGCATCCCTCGATATTCCCCCATATCCCCACCACATACCCTTGCCTCCTCACATCCCCATGGCAACCCCCTGCACCCCCCACCATCCTCCCCGCATCCCTCCCTACTCCCCACACACCCCCCTGCATCATCCCATGTCCCCCTCCATCCTCCCATCACAACTCTCCACATCCCTCCATACTCCCCCATCCACCCCGCACCCTCCCATATCCCCCTCCGTCCTCTCCGCAGCTCTCCCCCGAAGGCACCGGAGGGGAAAGGGCAGCATTAAGACTGTATTTTTGAGATGTTTTTGGTGGGGATCATCCACGATGCATTGCTCTAGGACCAGTTTTTGCTTTCAGAAGGGCACAGCAGATCTCCGCTTGCCTCGCAGGTGCGGAGCAGGGTAAGGTCGCTGCCCCCCGGCAGTGGGGCACCCCCTCACAACACCGGCACGGTGTCCGGTCCACTCCCACTGGAGCGAGCACTCCTGTGCTTTTACCTCCCTATAAACCCCACGTCATTAATCTTAAAATCCTCTGGCTCCGTGGAGCTATTTTTAAATTGACGTTGATGAAAAAGCAGAACCTTTCTCAGGTTTCCCTGAGATGCTTCATAAAAAGTGAATTGAGGATGTTTGAATTGGAAACTCACCTAAATGGATTTCTGTTAGGAAAACTGTCATTTGCCAATTAACTGTGACCCAATTAGCATTCAAACATGGGGGGGACCCACTTTCGATGCTGCTTTTCCAGCCTTGACTCTACGCCCTTCTACTTTGTTTACAGAGAAAATATATGCTGGTTTACCTATACTGGTGTAATTAAAATGGTAGAGCTCCCCAGCATGGGTGCATTTCTGCCAGAATAAACGTGTTGTACCAATTCAGCTTATCTATACACCGAAAACAGAACATACATCGGGTGTGTTAGCTACACGTATACTTTGCTGGCCCCAGAATACAGCAGTGGCAAGTGATCCCCCCGGGTCAGCTTTTCTGGTGGCTGTGCTTTGGGGTGCTGCAGAGAGAGATCATTCCCGTGGGGAACGGGGCTCCGAGGAGAAATTCCAGCACTGAGCAAAATCATCCACGTCTTCCCCAGGGCTCCTGTCTGACATCTCTGAGCACCTGGGCTGGCACAGCCCTACTGCTGGAGTGTGCTGGACCCGGGTATCGCCCGTCGCAGCCTAACAGCATCCTCACTGGTTCGTTATAGCCATAAAAGGTAATCAGAAAACGAAACAATTATGTCGCACTAACAAAAATTATCCATCCAATTAATTTTCCAATAGCCAAACCCGTGCACTGGTGAGGCCTGTTGTAATTTCCTCGTGGTCGCTCACTGGCCAGCGAAGGTTATCGCTGCTGGTTGAGGTGAGCCCTGAAGCCATGTTCGTAAACGCGCTCGGATATCATCAAAAGGCATTTGGAAGGGTCGTCACCGATAGCTGGTGGCACTGCCCTCGGATATCATCAAAAGGCATTTGGAAGGGTCGTCACCGATAGCTGGTGGCACTGCCCGCTGCTTTCCAAACAGAAGGTGGCACCTTACTGGGACCCCTCTGCCCCTGGGTCCGAGCGGCGGCCAGGGAGGCGCAGTGCCACGCCAGCCAGCCCTGTGGCGTGGGAAATTAAACTTTAACGGAAAATAATGCAGAAACTCATTAAAAGAGAAAATAACTCACAAAAAAAAAAAAAGAAAAAAAGAAAAAGGTATTTTACAAGAAAATAACCAAACCACACTAATTAGGTGTATTGTCAGTTACTCCTAACAGATTTCTGCTGTGATTGAGAGGGTTTGGGGTTTTATTAGCACCAGTGACAAGGCGGGAAGGGCCACCCGGTGCCCCAAACAGCTCCTCCCAAAGCAAAAGTTTGTCATTAAAGTCGTTACTACCAAAAAAAAACCGTTTCTAGGCGAGTGGCTCCGAGCACGGA